CTGCTTCACTGCTTTGCTGCCTTCTGCCAGTTGTGAACTGTTTCTCCACTGTGATGCCCCTCTCCCATGCTGCCCTGCATTGCAGCCAGCCCACTATGAACTGAAACCTCTACAAAGTGTGAGCCAAAATAAACCTTTTCTCCTTTAGCTTTTGGTGTTGGATATTTTTCCTCAGCAACCAGAAATGTAACTAAGACACTGTGCCTGGTAGGAAGCACTAGCAGGTATTAGAAGCAGTGTGGTGTTTCTGGATTCGGAGGTGGCAGCAGTGACCACCAGATATGCCCTTGCAGCTTGTAAGGCTGCAAGCCTTAACACCATCAGTAACTCTGGGATCATAGCTTTGGGTGACACTTTCTGTTCTTCCAGCCTCAATGTACAGGCAGCTTCTGGAAACCCCACCTCCTTGCTCCGCTCTTTTCAACAGTTGCTGTAACCGGTCCGTTACAACCCTAATTCCCTGTTTGAAGCACCTGGGAAGTTTCCATTTTCCTAACCCTTCCCTGGCTGATATTGCTCTCAGTAGTAGAAATATCTTCTTAGAAAATAGTCCCTGAAAGCTAGAAACCTGGAATCACTTATTGGCCCCTATTGACCTGGAACCCAGGAGGCATAACCTCATTGTTAGGGGGAAAATGGTTTCTGGAAGTCTCAGCATTTGGTGCTAATGTTTAAATATTCCCTCCAACGCTCATGTGTTGGAAATTTAATCTCCAATGTAAGTGTTGAGAAGTGGGACCTTTAAAATGTGATTAGGTCATGAGAGTTCTACCCTTTTGGACTGATTAATGTCATTATTGCAGAAGTGGCATCCTTATACAGGATGAGCATGGCTCTCTTCTTCTTTCACTTCCTGGTATGGTATGATGAGCCCTTACCAGACATGGGCTCCTTGGCTTTGCACTCTCCAGCCCCTAGAACTATACCTCCATTCTTTATCAATTACCTACTCTTGAGTATTCTGTAATGGAAACACAAAATGGACTGAGACAATAACAAAACCGGCACTTTCAGTAGCACCTATTTTAGCCCAGTGAGGTAGCACACACCAGTAATCCCAGCAGGAGGATCACTACAAATCTGAGGCCAGCCTGAACTACATAGTAAGTTAAAGACCAGTCTGAACTACATAGGAAGACCTTGTCTCAAAAAACAAAAACAAAAACCCACCTATTTTAAGTGCTTGGGTGAAGCATCTTTTGAAAGCAAAACCTGGAAGACAAAATGGGTGCTGCCCCCACCTGTGGCCACGGGGATACCTAGTAAGACTGGTGTGGTGGGTGGCTTCTGACAACTGGAGATTAAGCAGAACCTGATCAACAACTCAGCTCAAGGCACTGACAGAAAACCAGAGTACATCTTTAACAACCCAAAAGCATCTTTAATTCTTGTAGCCATAAGACAGATACAACTGAAAACATTTTGAGTATATGTGCTGCCGAAGTGAGCACACAACTGAAAACATAATCCTAGATTTAATCCTGCAGGTTGCAGTTACAACATGAGTTGAATTCACAGCCTTGCCGGATCTCTTGCATGAAATTTAGGGCACTGATCTGAAAGGAGTGGGACCCTGAGAATAGTAGAAGGATGTTTGGGTGGACGCAAGCAAAACTGAACAGAGGAAGGACAGTATGAGTACACAGCCAAGTGCTCCAAGAATATTCCAGCTTCCAACCCCAGCTTCCCATGCAATTTAGCTGTCTCTACACTGGCCAGAAATGCTCCATCAGCCTACAGCTGACAGCTCAACACAGGCCCACCTCAGCCCTCCAAAGGAGCAGGAAGCTGCTGGAAGTTTTATTGCTTTCTGAGGCCATCTGTCATCTAAGTAGACATAAGACCACAACACACAGGCTTGGTACCATCACTTAGAGAGGACAGGAACTGGGCTTGGATCCTAGGTCTTCCAGCTGTGTGACTGCAGATTAGAAACTCCCTCACCCTGACTCTCTCAACAGGCCCGTGACTAGTACCTCTTGGACTGTTTGAGAATGGGATAAAATTGTGAAGGGCTTAGTAACTATTGTCTCCTCCCCTTTTGCCAGGGCAGCCATCTAACCCCAGTGGGAACTAGGAGGAAAAATTCCCATTCAGGAGTTGGACCCATCTTGGCAGCCAGAGAGCAAGGATGTGGGCCTTGGAGTGGTGACAATTCCTGTGCTTCTGGGTTTTGGAAACCTGGCCACTACTCCCTGATGGGCCCGTGTTCAAGCAAGCCTCGGCCCCACCTCTCTGCTCTGGACCAGAAGTCCCCCAAGGAGACACTCATTAGGGCCAAATGCAGCTCTCCTCTAAGAGGCTGACATGACATCAGGGCTTCTTCCCAGGAAACTCCTTAAAGCTGCTGCCCAGGCAACAGAGGCTGGTTTCAGGGCTGGACTGTGGCCTTGGGGGTAAGGAAGAACCAGGGTGTTGTGTTTAGCAAAGTTGCACAGGCTGGGTTGGAATCCCAATGCCACTGCCACTAGCTTGCTGGGTCCCTTGGAGCCTTGTTCTCCTCTCCTGAAAAGTGGAGCTGCTCCCCTCACACAAATAGTGTTGACGTTCAAAAACAAGTCTATGTAATTAGCAACTTAGTGAAACCCTGTCTTAAAGTAAAAAATTAAAAGGGCTAGGGATGTAGTTCAGTGGTAAGAGTGCCCAAGTTCAATCTCCAGAACCACAAAAAAAAAAAAAAAAAAGCTGGATGAACATCAGGAAGGGAGAGAGCAAAGATCAGCTACACAGCCTGTCTGGCCTCCTTTCTTACCCCAGGGCTCCCCAACTGCTTCATTCTGGCCCAGTCTCTTCAGTTAAAAAGATCAGCAGCCCATCCACTCACCATGAGATCATGTGCAGAGCCTGAGAGCAGTCCTGTCGGCCCATGCCTGTCACTGAATGTGTCTTATTATGTTTGGAAGCCTGCAAAATGACAAAAGAGGTCTAGAGACTGGCATTGGCCCCAATACCACAGGCACAGGTCCTGAGTGGGAAAGGCACATGAGTTACTGCCTTATAGACTGGGACAGGAAAAAGAACCCCAGGGTGAGATCTGGCAGGGGAGCATAAAGCCTGTGGCAACATGCTGGGGTGGGCAGGGATCCCTGTGACCCAGGCTTCACCAAGTTCTCAACAACCAGATCCTGGAAGGACTCAGGACAGAGATAGGGTGAGGTTTGGAACCAGGTGGATGGGGTAGCACCAGAGAGGCTGAATTGGGCTGTGGGCAGAGGGGTGGGCTGGGGCTGCAGAGTGGGTGATGTGGTTATTGCTAACACAATGCCCACTGGGGAGTCTGGCACAGCTCTGCTGAGCCCCCAGAATGGGGTCAGTGGTACTTTAAGGCAGCCTGAGGAGCCACGGATGCTTGGGTCACCCTGTAGGAATGTGGGACAAGCCCACCAAGGAAGCCCCAGCCATTCTTCCTGAGCCAGGGCTTCTACCACCCCAAGTTTGCTCATTCAAGTACTGTTTTGTGGGCACACAGCCTTCACAGCAAGGCCCATGCTGTTAGAACAGTGTGGGATCTGCTTGAGGCAGAAAGAGTGGGGTTAGAGGCTGGCTCCGGGCACGATTTCTCTGGGCCCTCCTGTGTGCAGGCTGGAGCCCCTGGGCCACTTCATCCTATAGGTCCCAGCTCACCAAATGCTTGGAGGCAGGACAATCTGTAAGGGAACTTGGGAGAGGTGGCCTTAGGGAGGGAGGGAATTGAGGCCCCCAATTTGGCACAAGCCAGGAGGGAAGAGAAAATGCAGACTTTGGCCAGCCCAAGTGACTACTCTGGGGCCTATAACCTGCTCTTCTCTCAACCAGTGCAGAAATGGAGGACACCAGCTGTGTGGGGACACAGCCCTGCTGAGTCCCCTCCTGCTGGCAATTTCTTCCTAGAGGGCCTGGCTTCTCTGGCCCTTAAAGGTACTTAGCAAACCGAGCTAAGGATGGTGGAAGGGATGGGGGCCCTAGGCTCTCCTGAGGACTCCTGGTGGCCAAAGTGTGTGTGTGGTGGTGGTGGGGGGGGGGGGGAGTATAGCATAGGGCAAGGGCCCAGAGTACAAGAGGTGTAAGAGTGCTAAGGACAGTGACTGCCACTAGGCCAACCCTGTGATTCACAGTAGGGGATGAGGGTTGTGGATTCAGAGGCTGCCAGGCCTTCTTTTGTGTGCAGATGCTGATGCTCCTGGTGAAGGTGAGAAGCCATCTGAATGTATATGTCTGGGATAGGCAGCTGAGCTGCTGTGGCTAGGGAAGGAGAGCTGGGAGGAGTCTCTGTACAAAGACTTGGGCAGTGAGAAGAATGGAAAAAGACACCCACAGGCCAGGCCAGCATCAAAGGGAGGAGTCATGGTGGCAACCAGCACCCCCAGAATCCACCTGCTCAGGGCTTGTGTACTGGAGGAGGGAGGTGTGGGGGCCTGACAGCCTCTTGCTGGGGTACCCTGAGCACACTCGAGATACCCCCAGAGGTCTGGGAGGGGATTTGCTGTTGACTAACACCTCACCCCAAAAGCAATCTTGACTCCTGGGTCACCCTTCAGCTCTATGGAGGACTGGACTTAACCCTTGTGGGGAACGAGGCAAAGAGGTCAAGATCCTGAGCCCCAACCAGTCCCCAAAGGGAAGCCACAGGGTCACAGAAAGGTGGGTACCCCAGGGCCAAGGTATACTCAGTGAGCTTCCCCAAGGGTGTCAACAGGAAGGCAGGTGTGGAAGGGGCCCTGGGACTCGAGATAGGGCTGGGCACAGCAGCTACAAAAGAGAACAACACTCTGGTGTCTAGTGGCAGCAAAGGAAATCCCTTGGGCTGAAATACTCCTTCCTCTTGGGTGACAATGGTGCTTCTTAGGAGGCAGCATGCCTCCCTACTCCACCCAGTTCCAAGGTGAGCCCTCTTGAGAAAGCCCAGGTAGGCGGTGGCAAAAAGGCCAATGAGGGCTGAGGACCCTGTTATGTTCATCAGGCTGCAGCCACTCAGGGTGTCCAGGGCTGGGTCCTGACGGGGTGGGGGGGGGGGGGGGGTGGGGTGGGGGGTGGGGGGGGAGGTGAGTACCTCCTGGGGTAGGGCGTGACCTTGGTTTCTTGCAGAGTAGACAGAAAATGAGGGTACCAGGGGAGGAAGATACTCATTGCCCCCGGCCTGTCCACACCCATGTGTTGATGTGAGCATGTGTGCAGTGAAGCCTGGAAGCCTGGGCTGGAGCTCCATCCAGCACTCTTATCTCTCACATCAAGTACATAGCCCTTTACTGTGGCTCTGCCACCTGTGCCAGGGCACCAAAGTCTGAGAAAGAGAAGGGGGTAGTGCTGGTGGTAGCTGAGGCTTGGCACTACCATCTTCGAAAGTTGGCACATGAAGTTTCTTGTTGCTCCTCTTGACTCCAGGGAGCATCCTCCTCATCTTCAGAAAGGACACAGCTCTAGGAGATGGTGGCCGGGGTCCCACGCCGGCCTTCTGCTGATCACAGAGCAGGGATCCAGTTGCCCCCAGGCCTCCTTGCAGTGCCCACAGAAGGTCTGTGCAAAGCTGGAGGGTCTCTGCAGGAGGGGGCTGGGGGACCTTGACCATTTGGCCTCCCCTTCTCTCAGTCACCGCAGCACCGCCTAGCCTCAGGCAGGCACCTTCAGGAACCTGGACCCGGCTGCATCCTTACAAAAATAACTCTGAGCCTGTTCCCAGTGGTGGGAGCAGGGTCCTGAGAGGACGCGGCCTAGGGAGTCCGCGTGGAGGGAGGGCCGCAGGGTGCCTGCCTGGAGGTCACGGCTGCAGGCGCTCCAGATACTGTGGCAGGGGGTTCTCCTTGACGTATTTCTGGATGTACCAGCACGTAAGATGGGCCTTCAGGTCCTCCTCCACTACGAAATCTAGAGCAGCCTGGGGGCCAGGGCAGAGGGGAGAGCCAGTGGTCAGAACTCTCAGCCTGAGAAGGTGGCAGTGGTGGGCTCCATCCATAGCCCTCGGGCTCCATGGCCACCCTCCTACTATGCCCAGGTCAGTAACTCTGAGTTCCCTGGTACACCAGGATAACCCCATAGACCAGTCTGGTCCTGTATGAAAGGACATGAGCCCCACAGGGCCCCAGAAGGCACTAGGGGGTTGGTGAAGGAGCCTACCCCGAGCCAACCCCAGGCACAAAGCAGAGGCTGGGGTGGGGTGGGGAAAGAGAAAAAGCTAGCCCAGGGCCCAGCTTAGCCCCCTCAAGCAGCCCTTAGAGCTCAGAGGCTTTCTTCTGTTCCTGCTATAACTGCCCTGGGAAGCTGCCCAGGCAGCCTGGTCAGGACTCTGGGAATGAGGGGATGCAGCAGTATCCCACTGACTTTAACACTTTCCCATCTGCTCCACAAGGACTTACTGTGAACCTACTATGTTATGGGTCCTGGAGCCATAGGACAGGATTAGGCTGCACCAGGGCTCTGCCGATCAGGAGCCAGATGGGCTGTCATTTGCCCTGAGAGGACCTAGGGGATGATTCATGCTGCCCAGCACTCACCCACTGCCCACTGTAACCTGCTGACAAGGTGGGCCTGTACATCTGTGCATGGCCAAGAAACACATATCTCCCTGAGTGAGATGGTGGTAGCTCCAGGTCCCCTGCCCACCACCCTCCCTACCTTGGCAAGGTGCTTGGCAATGCCACGCCCACGGTAGGTATCAGGGACCTCTGTGTGCTGTAGATCCACAATTCGCTTGCCCACATACTCGTACAGCAGGACAGCACGATCATGGCACCCTGGGAGAGAGGTGGAAATAGGTGAGCTGTGGAGACTCCAGGGTCTGGGGTTGGCCCCAGCAGAGTTCTTCAGGGCCTAGTGCCCAGGCACTAGGGAGAGGCCAGGCATCTGGAGCCATGGTACCTGAGCTGAAGTCTAAGCATCCTCTCTGTGTCTTAGTTTCCTTGTTCATAAAGTAGGGTACAATAAAACGCTCCTCCCAGGGTCACTTGGAGGATTTAATGAGGCAATCTCTGAGCAATGCTCAGTATGGAGCCAGCAACACTTGCACCCTTGCTACTATCCCCCACCTCAGCATCACAGAGATCCCCCAGCTCTGAGCCTTGTGCTCTGTGCCTCACCTCAGTTACCTCTCAGGGAGTAGGAGTTTCAAGGAGCAGCAGTGGACACAGAGCAGGCCCAGCAAATCTACCACCAAGCCAGAGAAAATAAGACAGGGGAGACACTGCCACCAGGTGGAGCAGGAGAACCCACTGGACCCTGGCAGTGTAGCAAGGAAGGTCACAGGACAGAGGCACAAGCATCTATGAGAAACAGCTGCTGGGCCCACACAGGTCTTTACGCCCTCCTAGGCCTGCCAGGAAAAAAGGCCACCAGCCACCCCCAAGCTCCTGCTGGAAAATACTTAACTGAAGTTCCTCCAATCACAGTTGTTAGTTACCCATCTATCTGTCCATTCATCCATTCATCCATTGACTCATTCATCTACTCACCTATCCACTTATCTATCCATCATCTACTTACCCATCCATCTAGTCACTTGTCTACTCACCCATCCATCCAGCCAGCCAGCCAGCCATTCATCCACCCACCCAGTGTTTTTGGAGCCCCAGGCACTGTTTCAGGTGCTGTGCACATAGCAATGAACAAGACAGACAAGGAGATCTGCCTTCATGAAACTGACTAGAAGGAGAGGAAGATAAACAAGAAGAGCAAGAGAATGTACAGCATGGGAGGGGATGGGGAAGGGGCGTGAAAAACACTGGGTGGGGAGAGTGTTCTAGGAGAGAAGACAACCAGCACACAGGCTCTGAAGCAGGAGTGAGGCTGCAGGAGGGACAGTGAGGACACTAGGGTAGCTGGAGTGCAGGGGCAAGGGGGAAGGGAAAAGATGAGGGCCAGGAGGCCAGGGGCCAGGTCCTGCAAAGCCTTCTATGAAACTGTAAGCCATAGGAGGGTCCTCAGCAGAGAACACATGGAGGTGACTTGTGACTTCATAGGGTCCCTCTGGCCGCCACGGGGGAACTGGCTAGGGGCAGGAGGAGGGAATAATGATGGAGGCAGGGTGGGTAAGAGAAGAGGCGGACTATGCTGGCAGGATTTGCTAATGGTTTGGATGTGATCAATCAGAGAAAGAAAAGTCGAGGGCAAACTCAAGGAGTTGTACATATGTATATGAAGTAAATAAATAAGAAAGGTCCAGGGAAGGACAGGGCCATTAAGCCACATGCAGTGGTGGTGGTGGCAGGGGCTGGGCTCTCAGGAGACCTCTGAGCTGAGAGGTGAAGTGGCTGAGTACCAGCAGATGAAGGACATGCAGAGGGCAGTGCAGGGCTAGGGTCTCAAGGTTGGAAGATACAATTCCCTGGCCTTAAAAGAAGGCATGTCAATGCCAAGTGTCTTTCTCTACTTTTTAAAAGCAAAGTGTATTTCATGTATTTTAACTTTAAAGCAAGCAAAAATCAAATTGTACCTGACATGCTTTGAAGTACCAGAGACCTCTTCCTACATGCTATTACGGTTCAGCCTGTACTAGATTTCCCAAGAGGCAGACTGACAGATGGAGAGACCAAATGACCAGCCCAGGGTCGCACAGCAAGTCAGAAACCAGCACAGGACTCATCCCCAGTTAAGAGGCTTTCTGGCCCCCAAGATCCCTTGAGTCTCTCCCAACCTCCAAGAAGGAGGCCATGATTCAGCTCCCAATCTTCAGATGGAGACTGAGCCCCTAGAGATCCAAGCCACACAGTCACATAGTGGGTTTCATTCTTTCTGCTCCACCGAACATGTCCTCTACTTCTGGCCTCCAGCCTCTGCCTGAGCAGCTCTCTCGGCCTCCAATCCCCTTCCTTTCTCTGAGTGCTCCGGCAGACAGAGATCACACACACACATCTCTGCCTCTGTCCCACCTCCAGGCCTCTCTTTGTGATGTGACCACCATCCTGCTGTAGCCCCTGACAGGCAACTCGGTTCTCAGTTCCACCCTGTTATTGTTTCTCAGCCTTTTGGCTAAGATTAAGTGTAGTTCCACCCTGATAGGGTTTGAATTGGCTCACCTGGAATGGGCCAGTGAGATGGGATGCTATTTGGGGACTGATCTGGTCACTGAAGGAGATACCCACCAGCCCTGACCATTTCACTACCCAAAACTCACCAACAGCCTACTATGTTCAGGCAAGGTCTGTGGTGCTGAGCAGGCAGCAAGGAACAAAACTGAGGAGACCCTCCTTCTTGGAGGGTCTGTTTCAGTAGGACAGGCAGGCAGTGAACAGTATTATAAATGACAAGATTCTCAGGCTATGGGCACCTGTGTGTTCTAAGGACAACACAACAGAGAAAGGTAGGCAGTGGGGGCTGCTACTGTAAAGAGTGTGTATAGGGAAAGCCACTCTTGGCCAAAGATCTGAAGGAATGAAGGATCCAAGGGAAGATCTGGGGGGTGAGCAGACTGGGTAGAGAGAGTGGCACATGCAAAGGACCTGGGGTAGGATGTTCAGGGACTAGTGAGACAGCTGAGTGGTTAGGCCTGAATGAGCTGGAGGCAGGGGGTTAGGAGTTACGTCAAGGGATCTTAGGCCCAGACCACACAGCGTCTTGCAGGCCACTGAAAAGACCCCAGCTTTTGGCTCAGTAGCCTCCACAGAGGAAGGAGGGGTGGGGCTCCAGCTGCACAAGTTTGCTAGTGCTTCTCTGTTCACTCATTCCCTCCATCAAGTGGAGTGGCTACTGGGGCTGTAATGGGCCCCAAGGTACTTCACAAATTCTCTGCTTCCCCCTGGTTGCTGGTGGTCACCTGAACCTGAGCTCAGTCATCACCCTATCCCCAGTACCCAGCCCAGGGTAGACACCTAAGAAACATCTGACCCACAAAAAACTGTTCTCTCCAGCAGACCTACACCGGTACTCTAGGTGGACCTGTGGAATACCAACGTGCCCAGCAGCAGGCCTTCCTGTCTGGCTCGCTGACTGGTCTGACCTGTGACAGGCCTGGGGGCACAGCTTCCAGATATGCCTGACACCAGCCTCCCTGACTCACCAGAGCCTCCCTGTCTCCCACAGCAGCAGATTTCCCACCACTCGCTACGTGCCTTCCTAGGGCCTCTCAGGTCACCCAAGTGACACCTAACCAGATGTTTCCCCGACCACCCACTGCCCCTCATAGGACAGCAGGATGAGGGGCAGCACTGGCAGCTAGGCTCTCAGCTCCTATACTGCGTCCATCCCCACCCGGGGACACAGGCACAGCTCCCGAGCATGACTTGGCTTGGGGCTTAGGCTCTTATCCGAGCTCGATTCTGAGCACCCCAACCCTCATACTGACTCAAAGGGCAGAACTTGTCCCTTAGGAGCCTGGAAAACAAGCTTGGGCTAGGGCTGCAGCTCTGCCAGGTATCCCAGAGACCACACCTGGCCTGGGACAATCCTACCACATGTCACCCTCCTGGGCCTGCGAATCACATCAAGATCACAAACTGTAACTACTTTTGAGAGAAGCTGTCTCTCCCTGGTGTCTCTCCAACCTGGGGCCCTGCACTCCTCACAGCCACAGTATCAACAGAACCCAGGAGGCCATCAGAGGAGGTGATCACGAGAAAGACAAAAGCTGGAGAGCAGCAGGGATACTGTAAGATGGAGATGGGGAATCTCAGTGAAAGGTGGTCACCTCTACCACTGCACCGGCCCTAGAAGATAGTTGGCAGATCAAGATGCCACTGTACAGATGGGGGTACTAAGGCAGTGAGGAGTGGTGACGGGGAGGGGCTAGAGGTCAGAGGCTCAGGTAGAGGGAGCCTGTAGAAGGTTCACATGGGGACTGGGGGTCCTGCGGAGGCATGGTGGGTCTCACAGGGCTACCCACAGGGCTGGAATCTGACCCCTATGAGACCCAGCTCTACTCAGCCCTGTTGTCTCCAGGGTCTAGAGTAGGCTAAAGGTAGCTGCTGGCCCTCCAGGGCCTCGGTCTTCCTATCTGCAAAACAGGGGCCGGGGAGAATATGGAAAAGGCCAAACTGTTGGCAGCTGAGGTGGAGGAGGGAGCAGACGAAATAAGGGGCTGCTGGTGGGCAGGGACTTTTTTTTTTTTTTTAGCTTCCTCCAACCTCTGGATGACACCACTCTGAGAGAGGGTGGGGGCTCCGTGTGGCTTATCTGTCCAAAAGCCATGTGCCTTGGTGTCCCTACCTATAAAATAGTGACAAACTAGCATCTCAGAACCCAGATTTGGGGTGAGACCAGCCTGAGCTTGAGCCTCTTCTCACATCCCATGTCAGCAAGTCCTGTCCATACCTCTTTCCACATCATCCTGGACCTGGATGTTTCTCTTCATCTTTGCTCACACACCACCAAGTGTCCTGGCCCCACAGTCTGCTCCCCTCAGCACAGCTAAGGGGAGCCTAGGCCACCCCATCTGTTCTCTGCTGAGTACTTTTCCAAGCATCTACCTTGCTCAGGGTCAAAGTCAGATTACATAAGTTCACACTTCCAAGCCCTGCACCATCTACCTCTCCTGTGACCTCTTAACTTGATCCCACCTGCTGTCCTCACTCCATCCTCCATTGCTTCTTGCGATTCTAAATGCACACCAGACACCACAGGACCTTTGCTCTTCCTGCTGCCTTCCCTTGGAACATACTTTGAGGCTGTAGCTGTTTCTTGTCTCTTTCAGGTCTTTACTTAAATGCCACCTTCTTTGAAGAGGGCCTTTCTGGACAGCTGATTCTGGACACTTGATAAGCCCTAACTCATCTCTCACCAATCTTTGTTTTCTAGGTTACTTTACAATGTACTTTTTGCCCATTTCTCCTCTACACTAGCAGCCTCAAGAGTCTCTAGAACCTTGAGGAATGCTGGCACATAGTAGGAGCTCAATGAGTACTTGTGGACTGAATCTCACTTCTTCTACCTTGCAAAGCATTTCACTCCCCTGTGCCTCAGCTACTTCATCTGTAGATGGAGGAGCACTTTCACTGCCTTACCTGGGTTTGGCTATGAGATAAACTGACTCCATATGACAGGGCCTCCTGGAACACAGCAAGTGCTTAATAACTCCAGTTGCTCACATCTTTCCTCCCTCAGGTCCTAAGCTTGCAGGAGAACACTCTAGCTCTGCCACAGGGACAGTCAAGGCACACACCTGCCTGTGACAACAGGAATGACGGCCCTGTTGTGTTCCTGCCCAGACTCAGCATTCACATCCATGGTGGGCACAGTGACACCAGCTTCTAGGCTTCCTTGCAGGTCTGAGATCTCATGAGCACCTGTTCTCCTCCTAGCTCACCAAGCATCCCTCCCAGCCCTCAGGTCCACACCCAGACCCAGCCTGACATGGACACCTAGAGAAGCCTGCAAAGGGAGGCAGGCCGGAGAGGAGCAGCCACCTCCAGCCTCCCTCTTCTCAGATTGGGTGGGAGGATCCCTGCCCATTTTTATGGTTAGCCACAATGCAGTGGGTTCCAGAAGGGAGCAAGTCTAAGAATATGGTCCAGCCAGCTCTGGAGGGCTGTCCTTTAGCTGTACCCATTTGGAAGTAAAAACTTCTCCCAAACTCCAAGTGTTCCCTTTTTCTTCTCTGAGTCCAGTGGGTCTTCTGAACACCAAAAACAAAACAAAAAACAGAGCCTCCATGGAAGTCAGAAACCTCAGAGGAGGATCTGAGAAGCCATGCGATCTCTCCCCACAAGAATGACCAGGGCCCTGAATATCACCACCAGCCAGGTCACTGCCAGCACCACCACAGAAGGACTTGCTTCTATAAGGGAAGAATGCAGTGCAGGAGGGGCTAAGCCTAGGTTTGAGTTCTGACTCAGGCCTTTGGTGATAGCCAGCAACTCACTTCCTGCAGCCCTAGCCTCAGCTTACTCACCTGTAATGTAAGCTGGTGTGTCACAACACATCACCTGGAGATTGTGAGACAGGTGCACCCATGAGCTTGTGGAAGTGGTGGGGCCTGGGATGCCCAGGATCCCAAAGAGGAGTTCCAGGCTCTTCTGACTGTGACTACAGAAGCTGGTTCGGGAAGCCATACCCAGCACGATGCTATCCCAGCTCTCCTCTAATTCGCCCGCTGACCGAAGACGAGCCTGTCCCTTTCCCCAGCCTCCACCTTTCCTTCTCGGAAATGGGGGAAATGGGTACCTTAGGCTCTAAGGGCTTGAGACATTCCCACAGAGGGCCCAGCTTGCAGGAGAAGGGAGTGCTACCAGGAGCTCGTGGTCCTCGATTTCGTAATTCTATTTCCAACCCCTTGGACCTCCTGGTAAAAACTTCTCTACAGGAAATGAGGACTTGACATTGCTTTCCGGTTTTAAAGTAATGGTGAGTCCATGTTTGTCAGCACTTACTATGTACCAAACAAGTGGTTGTACTCCACGCTTATCACAGGTTTCATTCTCACCACCAGCCAAAGTGCTGTACACGGGTGCTATTCCCGAAGCAGATGGAGAAACTGAGGCACACGGAGATGCGGCAAACTGGCTAAAGTCTCAGTCATCCACCCCTGCCCCCCAAACAAGGGGCAGAAGCCTCTCTTGCTGTCAGCCACCGGCCCACCCGCAGGATTTTCCCAAAGCCTCCGGAGTGGAAGAGCTGCGCTTCCCAAGCACCTGGGGACCAGGCAGGTCAGGGGTGATCCGCTCTCCAGGACCTCCGTGGGCGGCCCTCGGCTGGTGCCCCACGCCAAAAAAACAGCCGGTCCCAGCAGGTGCGCGTCCTGGGGGTGCTCCTGCCTCTGCCTCCCCCCACTCCCCCGGCAAGCCCCGGGCTAGGCGCTCGCCGCCTTCTCCGGGACGCCCGCCCAGCTCGGCCGGGCCGCGTTCCCACCTGGCCTGCGCTCAGCCCGCAGCTCCAGCGGCCAAGGGAGGCGGCCCGCGGTCGCGCATTCCCTGCGGCCCGGGGTTGGGGCGCACGGCGGGCTAGTAGGTGGAGGCAGCCTCGGTGGGCCCCGCGCGCTCGCAAACAAAAGGCGGGGCGGGCGGGCGGACAGCGCGTTACCGTTGAGCCGGACGGTGAATTGACGGCGCCGGCGATCGTGCTCCACGCGAATGGGGCAGCCCTGCTCCAGCGCGCCCAGCGGCACGGCGGGCGCCGAGTGCGCCATGACGAGGGCTGCGGCCGCCGGGACCGGGGAGCACAGGCGGCTGGGCCGGGCCGAGCGGGGAGAACGCAGGCGGCGGCGCAGAAACTGACACTCGGCGGCGGCGCGGCGACAGCAACAAAAAGGAGGGGGGGAGGTGGCAGGAAATCAGCTGTGAGTCACGTGCAGCGCACTGCCAATGAGCTCGCGGTCTTTTTGTTTTGATACATTCCATTCTGCTCTTAAAGGGCCCGCACGCCGCGCTGGCGGCGTTCTGCTTGCTGCCACAACAAAACAACTCGGGCCTTTGGTGCCAGCGCTGCTTTGCCCTCTTCCGTTTGCCTTGTGAACAACTCTGGGACTGTTACACGGATCTTTCTCAAAAACATGTAACAGGGCCGAGGATTTAGCTCAATGGTTCCGCCGCCTGCTTTGCCAAGCGCAAGGTCGCGAGTTCGATACCCGGTACAAAAAAAAAAAAAAAAAAAGATGTAACAATCTATAGGGAAATTCTCACCGTCCCCACGACGGTTCATTTATGAAGCACTTGCAGTGTGCGTGGCCTGTGCATAGCTAAGTTCTGTTTTACAGGAAGCACTCAGTAAGGCATATTACTCTTGGTGAAAATTCTCACAAGGGTGAGAAATAGGTATGCCTGGCACCATTGTGCAGATGAGCACATCGAGGCTTGGGGCAAAGACACGCTCAATGTTCCAAGCAGCTGGGACTCCAGAAAGGAGGTTGTGGGGTGGAAATTGGTTGTGCCTGTCCATCTACCTGTGAACAGCTGTGGCTACTGGGGAGGGATTAGCCCCGGAAGGCTTGTTGAGGATAGAGGCGAAATGCCACCTTGCCACTAGAGAGGCCAAAGCGCAAGATCTCTCTGGATCGCTAGGCCAGCTCCACAGTCGGGGAGGCTGAGTCCCAGAAAAAGGCAGGGACTTGCCTTCGGACACAAGGTTCTTGGGGCCCAGACTTATTACTTGGAAGGGGCTTAATTAGACCCCTCAGGCACAGCCTCAGATTCACACCCCACCCTCTTCCTTCAGCTCGAAGTCTTGCCCCTCCCACCCATAGCTGCAAGCTGAATCACAGTGTTGCAGTCTACTCTTACAGTTTTGTTAATGACTTGTAAACTTGATGTTTACAGCCATGTGACCACCAGCCGAAAGAAGATACAAGTTGCTTTAGGAGATAAAGGCCACTGTGGTCCGCTGAAGCCCCCTTCTGGTCAGCTTTAGCATTTTGAGGATGCCGCTATCCCTGGTTTTTAGGATGAGTGGCCAAATGTTTTTCTAGACATCCTATACACAGAATCAAAACATGTGTACTGTGTGTGTGTGTGTGTGTGTGTACACCGGGCTACATCCTGAGCCCTCTTGATTTAACTTAATTTTAAAAATTTTTAGAAAAGGTCTTGCTAAATTCCCCAGGCTGAGCTCCTACTTGTGATCCTCCTGTCATAGGCTGGGTCTGAGTGTCCCCAAGGCTGAAATAGGGAACTTAGCCCATCCCTGTAACATAAGTATGTGGGCTCACTGACTCTGGTCACAGAAAAAGTGTTTTCAGGATGTGCCAGGAAAACAGGAGTGAGAAGGATTTATTAGAGCAAAATACAGGACAAGGGTGGAGTGCAAGTGTCCAGAGAAATGAAGCACAATACATTTGGCAAGTGGGGATCCTTTATGTGTTTTGGGAGGTAGACATATGTGGAATGGGACAATCTATAGTCCTAATCTTGGAGGATGGGAGAGGATGGCCCACTCTTAGTGAGCTACTTCTAGGGAAAATGCCAAAAGACTGGTCCCTTCATGGATGAAAGAGGATCATTTGCAAGTAAAAGGGAATGGGCAGACCCCTTTGCAGCTGAAAGGTTTGCTGTTTGGGGAGAAGGAAAAAAGTAAATAAACCAGGTCTGTAGTCTGAAGCTGCAGTTTTTCTTTAAAAATCAATTTTTAAAATTTTGATTTTCTCGTCTCCTTTTTACCTAACTTTGTTTCTTCTATCCTACTCACTCCCACCTCAGTTTTCCGGAGTGCTGGGATTACAGGTGTGCATCACCTCAGCGAGTTTTCAATCTTGCTTCTAGCCATTCTGAGGTGTGTGAATTACCTGATGGCTGTGTTGAGCCTTCTTTCATATGCTTCTCAGCTAATTGGATATCCATTTTTGCCTATTGATTTTTTCAAAATTTTATTTTGAGACAGGTCTCAATAAGTTGCCCAGGCTGGCCTTGAACTTGTGTTCCCACTGCTTAAGCCTCAGGAGTACCTAGGATTACAGGTGTGCACCACTGCACCCAAATTGTTTTCTTTTTGACTTACTAGAGTTCTTTTTATTGTTCGGTTGTGGGTACTTTGCTATGAGTCCTTGGTGAGATACATTAACTGAGAATATTCTCTCCTAGAAGATAATTGTATTAGGGAGTTGGGAAACAAATGAGGCTGGGGTGAGCCTTTACAGACAAGGAAATAGAAAAGGATCCAGAGGTCAGAGAGGGCCTTGACCTTCGCTGAGTCATGGCTGGCAGTGATCCTGTGAGGAAGAAAAGCCCTCCTGCCATGGTATGTGTCTCAGGTGACTTCTCTGTCACCCAAGAATTTAAGTGAGTGGGGAGGCCAGAATGTTCCTGGAAATTTCATGAACAGGCCATGCCATTTTCCACCTTTGGGACTTTGCATGCGCTATTGCCCAAATATCACCTCTCATCTTTGCAGTCACAGTTATTTACATAGTGTCTGTCCCTTGACAGACCCAGGCGAGATTCCTGTCTGAGTCTCTGCAGGGTCCAGTGCATGCCAAGCTCAGATAAGAGCTGAGCTCTCCCTTTTCTTAGGCTCCTCTACTTTAGTGTCTCTTAGCTTGTTGGGGTGTTTAAACCCTACAAAAATCCTTTCTGAAACAAAAATAAATAAAAGAATAAAATGAGCAATTAATATTTCCTAGGGCTGGGTGTGATGGTGCACACCTGTAATCCCAGCACTCAGGAGACTGAGGCAGGAGGATTGCCATGAGTTCGAGGCCAGCCTGGGCTGCATAGTAAGTTCAAAACCAGGCTGAACTACATTGAGAGACCCTGTCTTTGTCTCTGTCTCTGTCTCTCTCCCTTTCTCTCCTCTCTCTCTCTCTGTCACACACACACAAACTAAATATATATGGGGGGGGGACTGCCGAATGAATATATACTGAAAGCCCCCAGATCATAGATATGAGGTATCATCTTTTTAGCCTGTCTTTATTTCATTTAGCAACCACTGAGCACCTACTGTGTACCAGTCATTGTTCTAAGAGAATACAACAATGAACAAAATAGACAAAACTTCCTGCGATTCCTGAGCCCACCGTTCTGTGGAGAGGGAGAGAGACAGTAAGCAAAGAAGGAAACAAATACAGGATCTGTCAGCTGGAGGTAAGTGCCTGGAGTGAGATTTAACCTGGAGGGAGATGGGTGTGCTCTTGGAGGGGATCATGATTTCAAACATGGCCCTCAGGACAGACCTCAGCAGAGCTGAGTCCTTATGAAAGACTTGAAGGAGGTAAAGGAATGGGTCAGGTGACATGGGGAAAAGCTGTTCAGCCAAGGAGAACAGATGGTGCAAACCCCCTGGGGTATGTTTAAAGACTACAGGGAGGCCAGTGTTGCTGGAACAGAGAGCACCTGGGGGAGGTGGAATGAGGCCAAGAGGTAGAGCTAGCAAATTCAGGGCCTTTTGGATTTGATTGAACCAAGAGGAAAGCATGGGAAGATTTGGGGGACGTCATCATTGTTGTTGTGTTGTTTTTAATTTTTAAAAATTTCAAACCTACAAATGGGATGGTAAAATGAAGTTTGAATTATGGCTGATATTTTTCATTTAACAAAGTTTAAAGGAGTGTTTACATACAGTAAAAAAATTCCTCCTTTCACCATGTTGCTCTGAAAATTTGGACAAACATCTGGCTTTCAAACCACCTAGCACTCTACATAGCTGGGCTCCGAACAGGGCCCTTAGGCCCCTTTCAACCCCTCTCTCACTCAGTTGGCCTGTTCTCTGTCCCTGTCTTTTTGCTCAAGAAACCATGCAGTATATGGCCTTCGGGCCTGGCTTCCTTCCCTCTGTACCATGCCTCTGTGGTTCTTCCAGGAGAGTGTGCAGATCAGTACCCTGTCCCTTTTCTTTTTTTTTTCCCCTGTCCCTTTTCATGGCTGCATAGGATTCCAGGAAATGCTGTAATGGCCTTTTAAAAAAATTTTTATTAGTACGTATTTGCAGTACATAACGATTACATTTATCATGGGGAGTTTGTACATGTACGTAATACATCCTTTTTTTTTTTTTTTGGTACCGGAGATTGAATTCAGGACCTTGAGCTTGCAAGGCAGGCGACAGAATCACTGAGCTAAATCCCCAGCCCTCATAACACATCTTAATTATTTTTTTGCTCCTCTCCCCGTCCCATCCTTCCCTGTTCCCTCTAACTCTTGTTTCCCTTCTCATTTGCAAATGCTCATTTCCATTTTTTCTTCAATTCTCTCTCTTTTTAAATCCCTTTTCCTTTTCTTCCCTCTCTCTCCCATCTCTTGTTCACCTTCTCATTTGAAAAATATCTCCTTACTTCCTATTATCTATCTATCTTTTATTTTGCTCTTTACTTATACTTTGGGTTTCTCAAAGAAGAGAAACTATGAGATAACATTATGGTCTTGAGGTGCATCCATTTTCCTACAAATGCCTGAAGTTTATCCATCTTTATGGCAGAGTAGTATTCCATTGTATATACATACCATATTTTTTATCAATTTATCTGTTGACAGGCATATAAGCTGCTTCCAAGATTTAGCTATTATAAATTGTGCTGCTATAAACATGGATATGTGTGTATCACTGTAATATGATGACTTTAACTCAGAAAGATATCTCAGAGGGGAATATCTGGGTCAAATGGAATTTCTAATTTTAGTTTTTGAGCAATCTCCATACTGATCTCCATAGTGGATAGTGGTTGTGCTAGTTTACATTCCCAACAACAATGCAGAAAGGTTCCTTTTGCCCTGCAGCCTCACCAACATTTGTTATTATCATCAAGATAACCATGTGTCTTAGTTTACTTTCTCAATGCTGGGACAAAATACCCAACATCCACAAGTTAAAGAAGGA